CTAAGTTGTTGTACTTATTAAACTAAACAAATCCATATGTAAGATTTTTAGTGGTCTAGTGGTGATTATGTCCTTAATGGAGTGAAAAGAGGAATTAAATTATTTTTTTAATTTATAGGTATCACAAAGGGGGTCCTTAGAAAAATCTAACTTATGTAAGTCTCTAAATATGTCTTTCTGAGTTATTTTCCTAAGAGTTTCCATGCTTGCATGGCATAGTCACTTAAGCCATAGTCATTGTTCATCAACAATAGTTTTAAAACATAGTATTTGAATTATAAAAATAAGAAAAATCAAGCATGTATACATTATTTACCCTTTTTTCTTCTAAAATCATTTTTTCATTCAAACTAATCAGGTATTTTGTAGATAAAAAATGTTATGTCAAAGATCCTTATCACAAAGCTGACTAACACAAAGCAAATTCTATTTTAATCCATCTAATAAAAGAACATTATCAATGAAAAAAGTTTTTGAAGTTTCAATAGAACCTGAGCCTGCCACTTTCCCTGTAGTGTTATCACACAAGTATTATCTAGCCTCCTACCCTAGCCTCCAACATGATGAATTGCTTCATGTCTCCCGTCATATGTCTTGAACATTCGCTATCTAGGTACCACATGCTCTCACTATGTCTTTTGAGAGAGCATCCATACAAGAACTTGGTTAGATTTAGGAACCAATGTAAGTTTGAGTTTCACCTTATGCTTTAATGAATGATTAAAATACATGCTATGTTGTGATGCAAATTATTTAGGCCTCCACATAAGACATGTTTTATGATGTATAGTTCAAGTGCAGGCTATGTGTCCTACAATTCCATATGAGTGACACCAAACCCTAAGAAATAGCTTCACTAATCTATGCAAGGTATTGTGCCTCCTCCTACAGATATGAGATAATGCATGATGTCCCCTAATGGGTGCCTATTATGCTAGTGTAGGTTGAGGCTTGTGTGTTAACACATGCATTGGTTCATTATTTAGAAGTGCCAATACTTTCTTTTTTTAATGTTCATTAACACTTTTATAGCTTTTAACCTCAAACTATAATGCATGCCCACTAGTGTCTAGTTTTGTTGTCAGTGTTTGTAGTTCTTTAAATGCCTCTTCTAGTTAAACATGCTCATATTTCAAGGATGTATGCAATTTAGTTAATTTGATATGTTTCTTGTTTAATTCATCTAGCAAAAAAGCATGTTCATTATCTAAAGTAGAATGTTTAGCTTTTAGACTCTCATGCTCCCTAACTATAATATCATGCTCAACTTTCAAATTAGAAAACTCTTTTTTCAAAATATCCATGGTGTGTTCTTCAAACTCTTCTCACATAAGCTCTCTCTCGGAAAAAAAGTGGCAAAATATTCCCTAAGACGGATTAGGGATGATATTTAAACAAAGGCCCAAAATAACACTAAAATTTAAGTTAGTTGACTATGTTCGTACAGTGTGATCATAGATCATACAATACGATTAGTTCAATGCAACATGTTAGTGTTGTACGATGATCAAGGCTTTGTATGGTTAGTTCAAATATTCGACCTGATAATCCAGTACGATATCAAGGGTCATACAATATGATAAGTTTTATTGAATAGGACTTTCCATATGATGGGTCACTCTTAAATATCGCCCCGGTAGCTAATTTGGTCGCACTGTACGAATAAGGACAATGTACATTATGATATAAAATTTCAATTAATTTATATTTGATTGCTTAATTACAAGATTAAATTTGGTAAAATTGAACTACAACATCTAGTATGATTGCAGTACAATTAGTTCAACTTTTAAATTTCAAAATATTGCCTGATTTATTAACAACGACTAGGGTTTTAATTTAAACTAGTCATCATATACGATCGAGTTCATATAGTACATTTTATTCAAAGAGTTTTAATTAGTCACGTAGCCATTTTAATTGATTTTTTGAATAACTTATTGTGTAGTATGATCTGGGTTGTACAATATAAACTTCAGAAAAATCTGAAATTCATTTTTTACTATCTCGTGTGTTTGTGTACATGATCGCTAAGCTAGCATACACCCTTATGTGAATTTGACTCTAGAAATATATAAAAAAATAAAAATTATAGACTTCTTTAAACATAATCTTATTCTATATAGTCTTGAGCCTTGTATTTACATTGCATGGTGTATGATGCACCAGAAATGTTAGTGTGCACAAAAGTAAATAAAAAATAGAACTAATAAGATAAATAAAGTATTAATCAATAATATTTCTTATCATCAAAATAAAAATCTCGGGATCCTAGATTGCAACAGTGCTCTGCTCTCCGGCCATCAATGGTGAACAACCTAGTCAAAAGATCTCTCAGTGATGCTCGCCAAAGGAGCAAGACTTGGTAGCCCTACCAAGGCATCTTTCATAATCTTCATCAACCTTTCCTCCATCTCCACAAGTTCACAATAAGCTTAGTTTAGATTTTTTATGTTTACAAATCATTCAGGATTTAGCTTGTTCAAAAGGGTTGTACTGATCTTCTATCCGCTAGCATCGATCTATGCTTATTGCACCTTTTAGGATGTTAAATTCAAAGTTATCCATGGGTGACACCCAGCCTTACTATCAGACAATCTTAGGGGGATAGGATGCAAGAATCTACAATGAGTAAGAAATGAAAGGAAAAAAATAAGGATAAGAATTTGTTTAGCTCAATAGTATATTTAGAAAGTTCTCAAAGATCCAAAATATATCTCTTCTCCCTTTTTTGTTACTTCAAAATGACAACAAAAAATGCTACACCAAATATAAAAATAAAAAATATAATAGTAAATAACTCCAAAGACAAACTGCATAAGACACATGGCATGCTCCAATAGGCATTAGAATTGGCCATTATTCTCTAATCCAACTCCTCAGACTTAAGGAGAGTTTCCTTGAGCTGAGTGTTTATGGGTGACTAGATGAAGGGGAGTCTGCTAGTCGGACCGATAAAAAGATTTGTTCATGTCCTTTGGCGATGCTGACGACTATTTGGATGGAGTCCCTAAAAAGATGTGGGGTCAAGTATGCTTAACTTGCGTGGTAGTGAACTCTATGTCCTACTGAGTGTGAGGTGGCTAACTTGAGTATTGGGATGATCCTTCCATTACAGCTTAATAAAATGGGGTCCATCGATGACTTGCAGCCCAGGATGACAACGAGTTGTTTTGGAAGTATACTCCTTACAATAGGGAGGAGTTCGCCCAACCTAAGGGATCACGTGTAAACCATGATACTTCCCCAAAAAGTGACTCCCGATAGATAGCTTTGCCGAGTTAGGTATTGTTTTACCCTTTATAAATTGCAAGCTACCTATTAAATATCTAAGAATATATATTTGAGTGTGCAATAATACTTACATATAATTACCTCTTTTGATTGCAATACAAGCTCTTAGACCCAAGGTTTTCAAAATCAGATCGGACCGGCCGGTTCAACCAGTTTAACCGCAAATCGGTCTGACAGACAATTTGGTTAGAAGAAGAAATCGGCTGATGTAAAAACCGGGTAAAAACCGCTTGAAAACCTTGTTGAATAGGGTAACCGCCAAACCGAGAGGTTTAGGAAGAACCGACAGGTTCGTAAAATCTCTAATTTGAGTCGTTGATCTGAGATCGAACGGTGTATATATATTGGGTATCGGTATTAGTCGCTCGTCTGCCCAAGCATACGCAATACACAACGAATCCGAACTCCATACGCGACACTTCTATTTCTTCTCCCTCAGTCCATCCAAAAGTTATCGTCCGACCTCCCATCCACAGGCGAACACCATACACTGCTCCAATACGCGACTCCACGGCGACCGTGCCAGTTAAGTTGGGGAAGAAGTCACGTTTGACAGCCTACCTGACCCGTCAAGCTCGGATATAGCTAGATCGCGACGCAAGTTCTTGAATTTCTATATTTTTGAGTAATTTTTTACACATTTATGCTTGCTTTTGTTCTCCAAATTGTATCGATATGGTTTAGGTATTCAACTTTGTTTATTATTTCTTTCCACCTCTTCCTTGCTATAATGGCAGAGAAATAACGAATAAGCGTCATGAGGCAACCTGTGCAGACATCATGATTTTAGCTTTTTATGGTTTTAGCTGAGAGATCATAGTGGAAACTTGTTCTCTATTTTTCTTTGAAGTCTTAGCAAATCAATTTTGGCTTGACATGCAATTATTAACATTTTGTTTGATGCCAAAAGCTATGCAATTGCTTATGTTTTATTAACTTATTTAATGCGACACTTATATTATGTGTTATTTGTTTATATTTCATGAACTTAATTGTTGTCATATTTATATCATTTGAATTAGGGGCTATAAAAATAAAATATAAAATGAAGGTATTAGAAGAAAATTTAACATTTATTTTATTTTATTTTATTTAATAATATTATTATTCATTACATCATCCAATTCAACTCCGGTTCGACCGGTCGAAATATGAACATCTTCTGATTTATTATTGTCCGATCCGATCTCCAAAACCTTGCTTACACCAAACAAAATCCCAAACACTTTACGTGTTAATCTCACAAGAAAAAAGAAAATCTTTTTATAAAAGGTGCTTCTTAGGAATCCAATAATAACTATAAGTTACCTCAGCCATCATCAACATTACAAGCTTTATCCCAGTGAGTCAATTTACTAAATCCTCATCTTGAAGGCTGTGTGAAGTGTTAATTTTTTTATAGAATTATTCAGACTCAATATAAGTAACATAAAGCAAATATTTTTCCTAACACTGATAAGCCCTCGTTTTATATATTATGTTTAGATACACATGATATTGAAGAATAATTTCACATAAAACAAAAAAAAAATAATTCCTGATATAATAGAATTGGCCTCTATCTACTCATGCTTTCAAGTTGACGAATATCCACCCATATATATATATATATATAAGACCTTTTTTAATTTAATTCTGCAATGTTCCACCAATTAACAAGATAGGCATTCATCCTACAAGCATTGTAACCGTTAAAAGCAAAATACTTCAGCTAAAATTTCAAAACCTAGACCATTAGCCAAACTACAAAATTCTCAATAAATTTCCGAACAGAGACCAAGAAGAAAGCACACATATGGGCAAAACATTTAACACAATTCCATTGCCTGAACAGATATCATAACTCCCTACAAATTCATTGCCATGAAACCAATAAGCTCAAAGGATATAAGATGCAATACTAACAAAGAAAAACACAGACAATCTGTTAGTGAATGTGGGGGCGAAGCTCTGTACTGTGGATGGAATGGATATGGGCCCAGTAGAGTTTGTGCCGTTAAATTTCCTGTAATCACATGAAATTTCGAGATTATTTATTTATATGTAACATTTTATTTTTAAAAAAAAGGAAATGCAATCTTTAAAGAATGAAGTCATGAGAATTGTAAGCATACCCAGAGGTTGCATAATTGCATTTATCATAGCCTGCAAGAAATCAACTTGTTAGTCTTCGTCAAATTATGCAGAGCATATCAAAAATCTCCATAGGTAAGATAATCTTCGAGAACAGGCCCATGCAACTATTAAAATAGGCGAACAAATAAAAAAGCATATTTTGGTTAGTTGCAACGCTGGAATAACTTCATAGTTTAGAATTACCCAAATGGATAGTTTAAAAAAAAGAAAGTCAGAAATACCCGTAAATCCTCACGATCTCCAAGCATGTCTCCACTGTGTCCAGCTTGACTCGAGGACCTCCCCAATAATAACCTTGCCTTGCCTTTCACCAAAGGCCTCCACAAGGATCCTTATGTCTCAAGTACGGGGAAGCCTGCTGCACCTCTCCATGACAGCCTCAACCGTGTTGACTCACCGATGGTGCTCTCCCTCAGCTTCCCCTTCAAACTTTGGAGCTGACGGTTTGAAGAAATTATTTGTTTAATTCTTTTCCTTACACATATTTTTATTTAGGTCACCCATGACGATCCGTGCATATACCTCTTCGTTGGTGCCTTGTAGATTACGTTGGGGTCGAGTGAAAGGAGAACCCTCTCCTCTCTCGGAATAGCCCGTTCTAGGGGCTCGCTCAGGAGCTAGGAAAAAGATTGACATTGGAGCACGACGGACTAGCTTCGGCCATGTCCTCCAAGAAATGACCCTCCCCGATGGGATCAAACTCAAAACTTTCTCGGCTAGAGTCAAGTCACCCATGCGAGACACGTCAATAGTTAAGCTAACGGCGCATATCTCCACCATGAGACATCTCTTGCAATCAGATCGACCTCAGGATCACATTAAGATGCTACTCGCCCCGCTCTCAACTTAATGGCACGACCTCAAACAGGTTTCCTACAGGCGCCAACTCAATCCGCGAGTTCATCCTACTCGGAACCTCTCTCAATCGTCATTGCACTCGGCACAGCGGCCGAGCTACATAAAAGACGGTGGAACAACTATTATATCCTGTAAATATCCATTGTAACTCCTTAAGACCATTAAAAAAAGGGAGGGGGGAAAACACAAAAAAAGAAAAAAAAAAGGATGGGATCATCATCATTATCAACATTTTTCCTTTCTCGAGGAAACGATATATTGTGTCATTCTTAGCCTAAAATTTGTAGTACAAAGCCCTTTCTTCTATTACTCTTGTACCTGGCTTGACAAATATAAATTTTTTCTAGATCCATATTCTCTCACTTTCGCTCGTAATCTGGCTTCATCATCTTCACCTTCTAGAACATAGTCCACAGGTGGCCCGAAGTATGACCTGACATCATCCACCGAACAAAATAGGATTCAACATCATTTCAGGTATGATGAGCATGGATCTGAGGCTGAAGGAAAGAAAATCGTCATCTATCAGGCGACCTAAGACCATAATGAACATGATGAACCTAGAATACACCACTCGAACATGATGAACCTAGAATACACCACTCGCTGTGAACTGCAAGAAATAGAAGAGCAACTTCTGAAGTCTATTTAGGATGCTCTCTCCACCACTAGCAACCAGTCGGAAATCGTCAACATGCTCGAAGGATACTAGCCAACCTCAGTGCTCATCACGAGTCGTTGAAAAGAGCACATGCTTCAAATCCAACTACCGACCCTGTTCACCTACAGGAGAGATGAAAATTCCAAACTGCCAGACAAACGGATCAAATAAATCGAACCAAGGCTGACCAACGCCTTTCTTGATCAATCTCCAAAGGAAGAGCACCTCCCAAGTTTAGGGTACCTCACCTTGAAACTTATAGAGAAAAGACTAATCCCACTGATCATGTGGTGACTTGAGTCTATGACTTCCCACCTCGACATCGATGATGCCTTTCAGTGTCATCTCTTCTTCATCACTCTCAAACACTCGACACTAAGGTGGTTCACCTGCCCATCCAATGGGATAATCGTCTCATTCATTGAACTCAAGCGAATATTTGTTGCACAATTATCTAGTGCCCAGAGACCCTCGAAAAGTTAACAAGTTTTGTTCAAGATGAGATAGAAACTCGACAAGTCACTAGAAGTTTCATACTAAGATTCTAGAAAAAAAATATTTGATGTAAAAGACCTAGAACCAGCGGTCGCTCAAGTAGATCTACCCTAAGGGATGATGTAAGGTTCTTTTCAGTGCGCACTTGGCCTGCAACAACCGAAGACGTTAGCAGAACTATTGGAACTTACTAACAATCATGTTAATGCTAAAGAATACAATCGAGTGATCGAATCCTCTACAACCGCTTTAAGAATGGGATCGATGCAAGGAGAAACCTCCCTAAGGAAAGGCAGAGAAAGAGCCTGCTCTCGAGAAAGGAGGAACCAAAGATAGGGCAACCAGCGGTGCACCGATCCATACATGGTGCCCGATCTGCCAAAACCTCTTAGGACAAAAACATTGCCAAGACCTAGGATCGAGGAAATACATAGCGAGGTCGCTTACTCACCCCAAACATATCCAACCTATATGTTAAGTGTAAATTTTGTATTGTTTTATTATCTTAAATATCACTTAAATATTATTTTTATTGTTGTTGTCTAGAAATGTTTTAGGAAAAGGAGGAACATTCACAAGTGTTGAACCAACAATGCAGTGCTTCAACTACCAACACTACAGCGTCCACAACGCCTAGGTGCCACATCAGGAAATTGTTGTGCCAAAGACTCGAAAAAAATATCAATTAGTTCAGTGCCCCAGCGGAGCCAAAGGTCAGAGCCGCAATGCTTCACAATGCTGCAACGCCAGAAATCAGCACCGCAGTGCCAGAGTCTTGGGAATTTGAAAGCCAGAGCACCAAACTGTACAACACCGCAGCACCAAACTGCACATTCAAGCACCCCAGCAGTCAACTTTTTCAGCGTTGCCGTGGAGCGGTTCTTTTAAGTATTAATCTATAATATTTTGCAAGTATTAATGTAGACACTTATGGTTTGAATGAATAATTAATATTTTCAATATCTCTCATTATTAATTTAATGCTCAAATGACCATATGTGTAGTTAAAATTTAGTGTGATATATTGCCTCAATAGAAGAATATTGAAACAATTAAGAATGTTAGAATGAAACTCTTGCACACCTATACATAAGATGTTTAGTGTTCTAGTAGGTTCTAAGGAGATACAATCATCATAGGAAGATCATAAACCTCCCTTCACATCCCTATAAGCTCGACAAAAATCTAAGGATACATCGAGTTTATAATACTACACATAGTTGCCAACTGATCATTCAGCGGGATCACTACACCACCTGGCAGATTGGTATGGTATACTCATATTTAATTATCAACTTACTATATCCTAGCAGATTGGATGGTATGTTTTGTTCTTCTCATTTTCCAAGTCCTATAAATCAAGTTATAGAGTTATTTCATCTTCAAGTATCCAGAAATCAATCATTTCAACACAACGTATAGTCCAAAGGATCATAATATCTTTTTTTAAGTTGAAATAAAGAAATAACTTTAGGTTAAGATTGTACATACTCTTTAAATTGACACTTGTGCATAATTATTAATATATTGTAAGATTATACCTATTTTTAAATTTAGATTACTTAACATATACAAGATCGTTGAGTTGTTGATATTGTAATAATTCTGTCTCTTTGAGTAGATATGTTCAAAAACACTCTAATTTCTCTCGCATTCTGATGAAGATGATGATTGGCTTAGAATTATTATAGCTACTTTATGCAAATTTGGAGAATTTGATCCAAACATCTTCCACCACTCATCAGCATATTATCAAGTTAGAGAGCTTAGTGAGTACGCCTATGTGTATAAGTATATACACATTGATATTAAAAAGAGAATTACCATGTTGTATTTCTTTCACTATCGTCAGTGCAATTGATTTTCCATGGCTTTTTAAGCAATCACTGAATAATCTGACTTCATTCATTGCAACTATGAGCTTAGAACAAATGTCATTATTTACAATTAATTTAACTAGATCTTATAATATTTCTGGCTTTTGACAATAGTTCTCTCAATCATACTAGAAATGGGGATTGAGAAAAAATGTTACTGCAAGGATGTATTGCCTTAATTTAGTATATAATCTTCTTTTTATTATAATAGTAAAAGGCTTATATGATCTTTTTAAATTTCTGAACATTAATTTTCTTCCGTCTATACATGTCATCATATAGATATCCAAATGATGGTTTCCCATCCTAGTCAACAATACGTAGTAACAGAATTAAATGACCTGGTATCTTTTATATGATAAGACAACTATTCCAGAACTTCAAGTTGAAAATTATTGAAGCTACTTCTTTCACTTGGATGTTTTGGATATCTTCAAATCCATATATAACTTGTTTGTGATTAGTGCTGGTCATGATGGTGCTCATGGACACTTTTCAAAATTATAAATGTTATTGCAAAACAGGTTGCTCGAGGATATACGATCTCCTTCCAACCTAGCCATTTTCCAAAGCATGTAGGTATGAAGATATGATTATAACAAAAAATTGCCAATTTTGATACTTTTATTGCTAGGTCCACTATGAGAGGTATGCTGTCAATACATTTCAAAATTAAGTTCATACAATATGCAGTACAAAATAACCAATAGATGTTAAATCTTTCATTAAACATTAGACTTGCTTTCTTGTAATTAGCAGCATTATCAATAACTAATTGAACCAAACTCTGTGGACCAACTCACTGTACAACCTCAGAAAATAAAGAGCACAAATTTGTAACATCCTTTGTGATGTCTGAAACATCAATTAATTCTAAAAAAGATACACCACGTTGACAATATATTAGGAAATTGATTAACATTTCACTCCTACAATCAGTCCATCCATAAGCAAACAACTTGTTTCCTTTCAAGTTTTTCTGTAGTTGTCAATGAGTAGCTTGCACTCTTTATAATCCCATAGTAGGTTTACTCTCACGTTGTAATAGTTGGGGAGCTTGTAACCATGACCTATAGTAGCAATGGCATCTATAGTTTTTTGTGCATATACTAAAGTTG